AGGAAAATGTTTGGGGAGGAAGAGCAGAAGCTCAGTTTGAGGTGCCTAAGGAGCCCTGGTGGCACAACAGTTAAGAACTCAGCTGCCAACCAAAGGGCTGGCAGTTTGAACCCACCCAGCAGCTCCATGGGAGAAAGACCTGGCAATCTGCTTCTGTAAAGATTGCAGCCAAGAAAACCTGTGTTCTTTCTATTCTGTCTCATGGGGTCACTGTGAGTCAAAATTGACTCCATGGCACCTGACAATGACAACACTGGATATGCAGGTGGGAATGTTCGTTGTGCAGTAGGATACGTGAGTCTGGAGTTAAAGGAAGAGCTCCAACCTGGAGTTACGAGTGTACAGATACATTTAAAGCTACGATGAGCCTGGATAAGATCACCAAGGGAGAGAGAGAAGTAGATAGAGAAAATAGGTAGGGAGGTCCAAAGACTGAGCTCTTTGTTTAGAAGTCAGAGAGTTGAGGGGAGACCAGCTAAGCAGACATGGATGGAGTGGCCAGTGAGGGGAGGAGAGGGATGGTACCTGAAAGCCAAGTGAAGAAAGGAGGGTATGAGCAGCTGTGCTAGCAGGCCACTCCAGGTGGGTTCAGATGAAGGCTGAGAATTGGCCACTAGATTGAGCAGTGTGGGGTCCCTGTTTCAAATGGAGTGGTGGAGCTAAAGTCTGACTGGAGTCTGAAGAGAAAACAGGGAGAAATGGAAAGAGCAAATACAGCTCAGAGAAAGGGCCTTGCCAGAGGTCAGATGGTGAGTCGGGGGCAGAGCCTGACCCAGAATGTTGATCTAGTTCTCAGGCCAGGCCCCTGTGGACACTCAAAAAATAAAATGCCGCTCTCACTCTTGAACCTCATGGCCCGCAGGGGACTCCCCATAGTGGCATGTTTTAAGTAGGGGAACCATGTCACTCTAAGAAGTGTCATTACTTTAGGCAGAGAATTGGGAAAGAGGCTCGGTGTGGGTTCCCATTCTTGAGTTATGGAACATACCTCTGTTGCAGGCAGTTCTTCCTCTGGTTTCCCAAAAGGCTTCATGCCCCAAATGCCCCAGGAGGCAAGTCTGATGATAATGACCCTTGAGTTTGGTCTGGTTTCTGCTATTTTCCAAATTGCCAACCTTGGTTAGCAGCCAATTTCCTAACCACTCTGCCACCTGGGCTCCGTTTAACTAACCTGTTAGGCTGGTCCAAGACTTACATACTTGTTGAGACACCGTGTTCTTATTATACTGTCCCATAGGCCTGTTAATTGCCAAGGAACCTTTTAAAAATGCCTGGAGAGAACGGTGATAGATTCTCTCCCTGTTGTGAAGGTTGGGCTGCATGGAGGACCCACTGCCATGAGATAATGGAGGGGCCAGAGAGGAGAGCAGGCTGGCTTGAGTAGAGTAGGCAAGCCTGGATAGAATGAGCAAGAATGCTCTCACCCGCTCACACGTCTTAGACCAGTCAGTAAGCAGCAGTCAGGTCCTATTGCTATGCTAGCTGGGCCCTGGGCAGGGCTTCCCTGTGCAGGCTGACTCAGCAGTGAGCTCAGCCTTCCAGAACTCATAATGCACCCGGGGAGTGAGTAGTATGTATGGAGGCTTGCCTGCAAGGCAGAGGAGGGGCAAAGGCCTGAGCAGCCCTGCATACCTCAGCGGGACAGCGCTTCAGCCTGGAAGCGCCACGAGGGCAGTGCATCATCAGGCTGACGGGCCCCTGGGCTCTAGCACCCAGCCCAGCCAGGCTTGAGTCCTGGCCCAGCGTGTAGAAAGCCAGCCTCTGGAGAGGCAGCAGGGTAGTGTCTAGAGAACAGGACACTCTTAGGGCCACCTGGGCTCTAGTCCCAGCCTGGGCTGCTCTCTGCATATAGGTATTTTCAGATGGCACTGTTTCCACCTGCAGATCTGCCCACCAGCCCTGTGGACCTGGTGATCAATTGCCTGGATTGCCCCGAGAATGCCTTCCTGCGGGACCAGCCCTGGTACAAGGCAGCTGTGGCCTGGGCCAATCAGAACCGGGCACCAGTACTCAGCATAGACCCGCCTGTGCACGAAGTTGAACAGGGCATCGATGCCAAATGGTCACTAGCGCTGGGCCTCCCTCTGCCGCTGGGGGAGCACGCAGGCCGCGTCTATCTATGTGACATCGGCATTCCCCAGCAGGTGTTCCAGGAGGTGGGCATCAACTACCACTCGCCCTTTGGCTGCAAATTTGTCATCCCACTGCACTCTGCCTAGAGGGGCTTGGGGCAGGCTGGACCTGGCAGTCCCCTGCTGCTTCTGACACTGAACTTGACAACGGACGCCTTAAGGTTGTGAAGCATCATGGACCGTGTTAAATTTTTTCTTTTGGGTATGTTTCTTCTGTGAGAGAACAGACATATTTAAAACTGACCTGTCACCTGCCCGTGGCATGGGAAAGCTTTCCCTCTGGGTGCGTAGGTGGGCGGCAAGCTGAGTGCACAGTGGCTGCGCGTCTGCCCTTAGCCGGCGTGGCAGGTCAGGCTTTGTTTACAGACACAGGCAGCTCTCAGACTGTGTTTCGGGTTTACAGCCACTGGGTCTGGGTGAGTGCCTCGGGGTGGGGCAGGGCTCCGGTGAGGGCCTGCACCTGCTCTGTTGTAGAGCTTATGGCTTTGTCTACTGGCTTCCCCTAGCCTGGACAGCCCTTCCTCTAATCATGTAGAACCAGCCATGCTGCAGCTGTCCACTAGAGGCAGACTTTCCGCCATTCATTCTGGGGGTGTGACTAGGCCTTCCCCAGCACCCCCACGGGTTCATTAGGCGTCTTTTGACTCTCCAGAGTTGATCCAAGTTCATGCTGGCATTTTTCCAAGGGCCCTTCCCCCCTTTCCCTTCCATCGTCTGAGAGGCAGGGAAGGGGGCGGTGTCAGGGTGGTGGTATACTGTGCTGGGATTTTATTGTTTTTCTGTTGTCTTCAGCACCGGTAGTGTAATTACTGTAGAACCACCGTGCCCATCCTGCCAGCAGGGCCCCCACCCCTACCCCACACCCTCTAGCTGGGGGCCAAGCCTTTGCCTAGTCTTGGGCCACAGGATGCAGCTTTAATGTTCAGTATTGGGGAGGCCCCTAGGGGAGCCTGGTGCTGAACCAGAAGAGGCTCCCTGGTGCTTCTGCCCTAGGCCACCCCCCACCCCCACATACCTGGCCCCACTCTGTTCAGCCCCCTCTGCCCTTCCCCTGAAATGGTCCTCTGCAGCTGTCATCCCTGCAGGGCACATATCCTTCCCCCGTCTGGGCTTTGAACCTTTGTCTGGTGTGCACTCTAGATGAGTGGGCCTGGGGCCAGTGCCCTATCTCAGATGCCAAAACGAGGCTAGTTTTGGATGAACTAGCTAGGAGGGCTCAGCCATAGGCACACACAACACACACCACTGCTCAGATCCTAAGGGACTGAGCCCCAGCACCATCATCACAGGCCTTGGCCCTGGAGGCTGGTGGGACAGGAGCCATGCCAAGAGCTGCCCTCCACACGGGCTTGTGATTTCCTTTCCAGGGCCTCAGACTTCCTTCTGCCCTGTGCCCACCCACTCTGGTTAAGTGGGGAGGGCTTACCAAGGATTGTGGACACAGGGGTAGGCCCTCTATCATGGGTTTCAGACTGTCTGATCACTTTTCTTGTAGGAGCATTAGCCAGCAGCAAATAAGGGCAGGGAGGGCTGGTCCCTCCTTTCCTCCCTTGAGCGTTCAGTTGTCTCCAGCAGTGGGAGGACAGGGGTTTTGGGCCTTGTGTGTAGGGGCAGGACCATAATCCAAGGAGCAGTGCTGGATAGCAGGCACTTTAGTAGGCAACCATTAAACAGGTTCTGGCTGCCCAACAGTTAGGCCCCCCGATTGGGTACAGTGGAAAATAAGCTGGAAGCACCCCTGCCCAGAAGACTCTGCTCACTCCAGAGTAAGCTGCAGTGGCCCTGGGGGTGATGGCCTTGTTGAAGGGCCACTGGGAGTTTGTGCCCAAGCCCGTTTCTCTTCTCTTCCCCCAGGAAGCACTGGGGCTTCCCCCTGCCCTCAGCCTGGGCCTTCTCCAGTGGTATTAAAGATAAGCACGACTCCTCTACTTTCACTCTTTTCAGAGGCATCCTGCCCACAGTGCCCAGTCCCCAAGGGACCCCAGTCAGGTGGTCAAGACTTATGCAGCTCTTGGGGAACCAGAAACCAGCACTAAAATAAAGCGGAATGACTGAGTCCTGTGACGTGTGCTGAATTGCTCTGTAGGCTGAGATGAGGCACTGCCTCCCCTAGCCAGCGACAGGGAGGACAGGTGAAGCCTAGCCCTAAATAGCCAGCCAAGGCAGGCTGTTTCCCTTAGAGTCTTTGGAGACAACGGGTGCGGATGCAGGTGCAGGACAGCACCCAGCAGGCCTGCCGCCTCAGCCCTACCTCAGGGCAGGAACTACTCCCCCTGAGCCCAGGAGGATGTCCCAGCTTCTGGTCTTTTCTCTGGCTAGCCCTTCTGTGCCTCGCCCAGTTCACACTTAGCTCTCCACAAGCTCAACTGCTAAGAAAAACTTTATTAATAAGGTCGGGGGAGGGGGAGGAGCGAAGGCAAGGAGCCTGGAGACGGACACACCGGTACCAGGGGTTACAAACAGTAAGAAACACTTTATTATAACTTTACAACATATAAATAGTTCAGGTCAAATCTGTGCTTTCTGGCAGCTGGGCACCAAGTCTCCTCCCCTGCAGGCTCCTGCCTTCCTTCACATTGCACTGTTCGTTGGGTGGCTCTGGCCCTGGGGCGCAGCGGTAGAGGGTGGAGAAGGGCCGGTGGCCCAGCCCTGACCTCCATCTCTGGGCAAGGGCCTGCGCCTGTCATCTGCTTGGGTTGCGGCTGTTGTGGAAGGACCGCTCCTCAGGGGTCAGGCCAGCAAAGAAGGGGTGCAGCAGGGCCTCCGCCAATGTGATGCGCTGGGCAGGGTCAAACTCTAACATCCTCCTCATCAGGTCAAACAGCTGCACATGCTCCAGGGAGTCTTGGAGCATGTAACTCTGCTCAGGGACACAAGGTGCCTCAGTGTGACAGCAGGGTCTTGGGAAGCCACAGCAGGTCCCCTTGCCTCTGGGAAGCCTTGCTGGACTTGCAGAGGGGGCAGTAATGCCTCCTGGGAGGACTCTACTTTTGCCCTCCTGGACAAAAAATGAGCTGCTCCTTTCCTTTCGTGCTGGTTTAGCACTCTGGTCTGAACTTGTCAGGCTACTGGGTGTCTTGCTGGGCTAGTGCCTCTGCCCCCCACAAGCAGAGTCCTGACAGGTGGTAGAAATCCCCTTTGTGAAATTCCCTTGTCCGAGCACCAATGCCGTCGACAGAGGCCTTCTGACCATGACTACTAGGTCTTCCCTCCCGCTCACCTCAGTCCTGCCTAGTTCTACCCAAAAGAGGGAGCAGGAAATAGCAGGGTCTCAGACATCTGGCTCTTCTGGTGTTCCCCAATTACATTCATGGCCACCCTGTAGGGAGGGCTGGTGCTAAGGGCCCTCCGGGGCAGTTTGCCAGAAGCGCCACTGCCAGCACACAGCAGTCTCAGGCGCAGCTTCCCACAGAACTGGAACGAGGAGGCAGCCTTTAACTGCCTGTCCTGTCTCTGCTGTATGTCTGCCCGGTGCCTGGGGTCTCTGGGGCATGAGTTCAGCTAGGGGAAGCCAGAAACTGACCTTCAGAGGTTTGCAGTTCTCCTTCACATACCGGCCGTCAGAGCTGTTCTCATCCCAAACCAGACCTCCTTTGTAGAAATATTTCTGCTTCCTGGAAATGAAGGGGAGGGGGCAGGAAGGCAGGAAGGTCAGGGCAACAGGTTTGCCAGGTCATACAGAGTGGGTACAGGGAGCCTGGAAGAGCCACAGATGTTCAGCAAAGCCCATCCAGTACCCTGCTGACCCAGCCAAGAAGGGAAAAGCCTGTAGGCCAGCCCTAAGGGGACTACTGGGCTCCTCACCTGGTGCGGTGGATCATGTGTGAAGGGATGGGACCAAGGATCTTCTCCATCATCACCAAGTGCTCTCGGTTTTCGTGGGTCTGTGGAAGTTCAAGGACACAGCAGGGGTCAGTACGAGCCTCAACCCCCTCAGAGAGAAAAAGGAACAAGAAAGATGGGCAAGTGCCCTCCCTGCCCCCACGAGATGCATATCCACCAAAGGAACATGCCCACTTCTTGCACCCCAATCCTCTATCCTTGATGGTCTATTTCACAACTCCTCCCCGAGTGCTCCAGCTCCCTGACCTCTTCCTTCCCCCGAGCATCTCCATCCTGAGTCTCACGACATGGATGACTGGTGGGAGGTGGCAGACACCTGTCTTCTAAGGCACATGGACTTCTCACCCAGTCCCCTGTGGCCTGTCAGGGGAGGGGTACTCAGGGGAGTGGAACGCATTGGGGTGGCCATACCTGGAAGAGAGTGAAGCCGCGGTAGTACTCGAAGAGAATGCAGCCGATGCTCCAGACGTCACAGGGCTGTGCCCAGCCCAGCTCTGAAAGCCAAGATGGAGACAGGCTATGAGGTCCTGCCCCCTGCTCCCAGCCTAGAGGTCACAGGGCAGCTGCCACACTGGCAGGCAGGACTCTTGCCCAAACCCCAGTAGAAGTGCCTCTCTCAGTGCCAAGTCAATAACCGCAGTGACTCATAACACTGCCCCCTGTGACCCTCAAACCTGATCAGCAAGGTCTAAGGGCTACATAGTCACTCACCAAGAATCACCTCAGGCGGGCGATAGTGACGGGTGGCCACAATGGTAGTGTGATGCTCATGGTCAAAGGTAGCACTGCCAAAATCAGCCACTCGGATGCTGGTGTTCTTCACCGACTTCTCCTCACAGCTCTGAAGGGCAAGGTGGGCCAGGTCAGGACTCGGCATCCAGTGGGGGCTCCCCCAACCGAGCAGGGCTTTGTCCTCTCCCCTCCCCAATACCTTGTGCTCATTGTAGAGGGTTTCAAACTCGGAGTTCACAAATAGGATGTTCTCTGGCTTCAAGTCTGTGTGGGTCAGTTGGTTCTCATGTAGGACTAGGAAGGGGGGGGAACAGGGGAAGCAGGCACTGAGAGACTGGACTTCGCTCTGGCTCTCCTCCAAAGCCAGCGGCTGCCAAAGCCCCTCACACCCCTACCCTCAGCAGGTGGCCGAGAGAACTGGACCTAATTCTGCCTCTCCACTGGCTTCCCTCTTAAGGCCTCTCCATGCTTGGGCCTTGGAGGTTTCTGAGACTTTAGAAATGGGGGCGGGGGAGGGCTTTTTCTGTTAAAAACTTCTTCCACCTCTCTGCAGGGGCTTGTCTCACACAAAAGCTGCACCAACACTCAGGGTGCGTTCCTCTTCCCAGCACTGGCTATGTAATTTGTGGGGCCCAGTGCAAAAAATGCAGGGCCCCTTGTTCATTAACAACGTCAAGATGGTGGCAGCAAAGCACAGGGCTGCGTGCGACTGCACAGGCCACACCCGTGAGGCGGACTCTGGGCAGGGAAGTCTGTCTGCCTTTCCCGCCAGCCCCTACCCCACCAACAGTGGCTCCTTGCTACTCATCACATTCAGGCTTAAGACTCCCATCTGGCACTGAAGCCCCACAAAAAGGTGTGTCTGCTGCTCCCCAACTGAGCCCCCGCTCCTAGTGTCTCCACACACGCCAGGCCCTTGACCTTCACATAGCTGTTAACCTGGTTGGCACTCTCTTCCCCACCCCCTCCATCTAGCAGAGCCTGCATATTTTAGCTGTAGGTCTATCTCCCTCCTCTCCGAAGAACCTTTCTGTACTGCTGCAACCATGGCAAATTCTACAGCACTGAGCACTGGCACCACCGAGCCCATTCTAAAGCTGCAGACGGATGAGAAGAGACTGTTAGAGGATCTCAGTGTGGGCAGTACCCGTGGTGGGATCTGCCAGGTCAGCCTTTTTACCCTATGCAGGAAGGTTGGTAGCTCGGCTAATGCTACCACAGCTCTTTTCTTTTTCTTCCTGAGTGCCTGGGGGCAGAGGCTGGCTCCGGAGGTAGGTCCCTGGAGGGGACTCCAGCCTTTCCATCCTCACACTGAGATTCCTACCTGAGATAGAAGGCCTTTAGCCAAAAGGGCCCTGGTGTCTCAGGCCCAGCAGAAAGGTCAGCAGTGTGCTAGAGGGAATGAGGGAGAACGAGACGACCAGGGAACTGCCGGAAGTGCGTGGCTGCCGCATGCTCCAGCTGAGGGTGGACACTTACATCTAAGGGCATGGCAGAGCTGGTAGGCCATATGCCGGACATGTGGCAGGGGGTAAGGCTGGAAGTTATTCTCCTTTAGGAACTCAAAGGTGTTCTTGCCCAGGAGCTCAAAGGCGATGCACATGTGACCGTGAAAGTTGAACCAGTCAGACATGAAGACGCACAGGCTGGGGAGAAGGATGGGTGGGGCTCAGGCTCTGTGCTGGGGGCTGCCCCGCCCCCATCTCAGCTGTAGCCAGTCCCCACTCCCTCCTAGGCCACTGCGTCACACGCCAGGATGGAGATACACAGGAAGAAAGAGAATCAGTTAACAGAGCTAAAGCACATCTCCCCACCAGCCACCACAGATCAGCTGAACAAGGACTGAACTTCCTGCTGGGATGGGGGAGTGCTGGCCCACAGGAAAGGCCGGGGTCTGGTCTGAGGTCTCCCTCTCACCTATGGGTGACATGGGGATAAGCCCTGCCTCAGAGCTGCTCTGAGGAATAGATGGAATGATGCCTCCCCACGCAGCAGAGCTTCCTGAGGGGGGCTGGATTCACTGTCTGCCCAGGGCTCAGCACAGGGCTTAGATGAGAGGAAGAGCTTAGCGTCTGTTTGCCAAAGACAGGCCTTCCTCTGGGTGCCTCCTAGTGCAGGAGAGCCCGCACAGCTTACTGCGTCCATCTTGACTTCTGCCCACCGCAACCCAGTGAGGTCCCAGTTCACAACTACCGGGAGGGGGGCCTGCCTTGGAACACCAAGCTGGGTGGGTGGAGTCTGGACCGAAGCCCAAAGGCTCCTTCCAGCAAGACTCCCTTGCCAAGCTCCCCGGTGCTGAGTGCCGGGAGACAGCACAGGCCAGACACTGGACGGCACGCTGTGCCAAGCCCTAGGGGTCCAGGCAGTGGGGGCTAGAGTGGACTCTGTCCCCACTGAAGGCTTCCCTCCCACTCCTTGCCAACACTCACAACTTGTTCTCTTTGTCCTTCTCCTTAATTTTTTTGAGAACGTTGATTTCTAGCCGGGCGGCCTCCCGGTACTTGCCCACATTGCGGATGATCTTCAGGGCAACCTGAGACTTCCCTCTGGGACCGGGAAGGAGACGGGGGTCCGTGTCAGCAGCTGTCCGCCCCTCCCCAACCCTCTGCCCCAACTCAGAACTCCCAGCAAACACCACTCACCAGGAACAGGCCTGCTCTGAAGAGAGCAGGTACTTGATGCCCAGCCTGCCCGTGCAACCCAGACCTCTGCCCTCCTAACAGCAAGCTCCCTTGGCATCTCTAGATGAATGCTCTTGGCATCCATGCCAGCCTTAGGCTTTTATGAAATCAGCCACTGCCAGCTCCCAGGGGAGAGTATGGGCAGAAGTAGAGGCCAATCCCACTAACCAGTGCCAGCCCAAGCTCATGCAATAACCCATCCTCTAGGCCAGTTAGCCCAGACCCTGGCCAGGCCGTCCCACTCAGAACCCTCTTGTGTAAACAGCTGCCCCCTGGGGTGGGGGGTTCCAGGATGGAGTGAAGATATGGCAAGAAGGTAAAAGGGGAGAAATGGGGTCCTCTCCCTGAGGCCCAAGGCCATTCCCTCCACCACACCCTAGTCCATGCCTACCCACCTGCCTGCCTCCCAGCCACAAGCATTTACCAGTTACCACTGGGTACCAGGCTAAGTATCTACTGAGGATCTTAATAATTCCTGCTCTACTTCCGGCCCCCAACCCAGCTACCAGAGACCATTCCCAAGGATATGAGCAGAGAAGGAATCCTGCTGAGGTTCAGCTGCCAGGCCCCATCAGGAAGGGATGGATGTGGTTTAAAAACTGGTGAGAGACAGTGCCAGCCCACAAGGGTGCATCTTCTGGGGCCTCAGGGAGGCTAGGCAGGCTGGGCCTTGGTGCCCAACGAAAGGCTCCCAAGCCCCAGGGCAGAGGCATCTTCTGGAGAATACCAGAAGAATACTCTTCTCTCCTTGCCTCATTTCCCCAGAATTATAGATTCTCAGGGCAGGGAAGGACCTCAGAGGAAAAGCCACCCACTCCAAGCTCTACCTTTGTGACATGCCAATCCTTAGGACAGGGAGCTGATCACTTCCAAAGGGAGCCCCTTGCAGGGCTGGGTGTCGGAGGATGAGGCCCCTGCTTTGGCTGAGTGGAACTCTGCTTCCTCACGATAATCCCCACTGCTCCTGACTCTCTTTTTGGGTTCCAGAGCTTCCCTGGTCCTGTGCTGCCCCTCGGTGGCTTCTGAGGCTCATTTTTCCCCTCCAGCTCTTCAGAGTGGCACAGCCTGGAGAGCTCAGCTGCCCTCACGAGTCACAGCTCTTGGAGCTGCCACATCTCTGTGTGGTCACATGCTCTGGACACGGTACAGTACCTACACTCACTGGTCCCAGCCCAGCCCACTGGGCCTGAGGGAGGTTTAAATGGGACTGGGAGCAAAGGGTGGCTTCCTCAGTCACTGTCACTACCTTATCCTGGGGCCACAGGGATGGCTGGACTCCTGGGTCTAACGGTCCTTTCTGAGCACCCTTATTGTGGGTACCCTGCAGAACAGTGATGCCCAGCTCCACCACCCATCAGCTGCGGGATAGGGAGCAAACCCTGAACATGTTCCTTCACCTCTGAAACAGCAGGCAGGTCACCCACAGACAGCGCATGGATCAATGAGACAGCAGAACATTAGCACTTGTAGCTGAAGTGCCAAAGCAATCAGAGGGCTGGTAAGGCACAGAGGCAATGCCCCCACTCTACACAGAGGGCTGCCCAGCCCAGAGCTGGGGACAGGAGGCTCTGGTCTTGAAGAATGGTTAAGAGTAAAAAACTGTTTCGCTGTTAAGCCTGGAAGGGAGAGAAGTACCCCCAGCGGCACCCCAACACACACAGGATAGCTCAGCTCTCCTTGAGCAGGCTTGATGGAGACCACACTCCACCCTCGCCACACTGCAGCAGGCAGCTGCCGGCTTGGGAGAACACTCTGGTCTTATTTCTCCCAACTGGGACCTGGCACAGCCTCTCAGGCAGATGCACAGGGTGGGGCAGGGGAGTAGCACTCCCAGCCCCCTGCCAGGCCAACACCCTGCAAGAGATCCCAGGGAGTGGGCACCAGGCCACATGGCTCTGCCTTGAGAGCCACCACCACAGCCCTGGGGAAGGGGAAATCGGGGCAGAACCAGTCACTGCCCAGCAATTCTTGGGCATGCCTGCAGAACCCCAAGAATTTCTGCCTTATCTCAGGGGGTCAGCAGAACACCAACATGTACAGGTCAGACCCTGCTTTGGTGCTACCCTTCAGAAAGAACAAAGTTAAGCTCTGATAACCACCACCTGCAAGACCCCCGGACAGCCTCTTCCCAGGCGGTCACCTCCAGAGCCAGCTGGGGCCGCCCCGGCGCCCTCACCTGGCATGGTCCAAGCACTCCACCACCTTGCCAAAGGTGCCTTCGCCCAGGTTCCCCACGATCTCATCTAGGAGAGAGAAGAAGCAGGGCGTGAGGGTCTGCAGGGCAGAGGGCTGGCAGCTCCTGTAAGTTCACAGCATTCAAATTCTCAAAAACAAAAAAGGCTTCTCTCACTGCCACACTCTTAAAAACAGAAGCTGCTAGTGTCTGTGTCATTCAGGCAATTACTGGTGGCCCCACTAAGGCGCCACGCGCACTAGAGGCCCCTCCAGGCAGGAGAGGTCTCGTCTAACAAGGGGGGTAGAAAGTAGAGAGGTAAAGTTTTACGAAAGGTGGCTGTACATCGCTCTTGGAGCCAATCGCCGATCCGGCACACCAGGTGGCCCTCCTTGTCATCTTCCACACTCCGGCTGCTGCGCTTACTGCTCTGTTGGCTTCTCTGCATGCACCGCCCCCCGAAACGCCATCCGACCAATCGCATGGTAGGCGGTTCCGATTGACAGATTGAGGTGTCAGTCAAAGGCAGAGGTGGAGACGGTGAGGAGCCGGTGGGTTGGTTGGTTGGATTTTCCAGATCCCAGCATTTCATAAGGCACACAGCATATATAACGATAGGGATATTGCAAGGGACACGTCAAGACACAAACTGACTTCAAAAACAGAAAAGTAAAAACAGCTACAGGTATGTAAAGAAAACTCGGACATTATCTATAAAGAAAGGCGCCGCAGATGCTCGGAAAGACGACCAGCCTCTGCTGCCGAGGGGCCAGGCCCTGAGGAAAGCCACATCCCTGATGCCCTCCTCCAGCGAGTCTCCCCCTCCCAGGCCCTCCCGTGGGGTCTTCGTGGTGGCTTCGGCCAGAGCTGAAGATGCAGAGAGAACGGCGCAAGAAGGCAGCCAGCCCAGCCTGGGTCTGACCGTCCGGACTGGTGAGAGGGCCATCCTGGCTTTCCTGCAGAATGCCCAGCCTGTCCTTGCCTGCCTCTGTCCTGCCCACACGGCCTTGCGCATGCCTGACAGCTGCCACTCAGAGCCAAGCTGCTACCTGTCCCCAGACGGCATCCTTGGCCAGACGTGAACACCACTACCAGAAACGGCCTGCCAGCAGCCCTCCTGCCACCAGCCTCAAGCAGGGAAGGGGCCGGTCCTCTGGGCCAGTCGGCCTGCAGGCCTCCTTCCACCACGGCCCATACAGGCCCCAAGCCAGCTCCTGCCCTGGCCTTGGCGCCTTGCCGCCCACAGACCAGGCCCATCCCGAGCCTCACGACGACAGAGGGCACCAAAAAGCGAAGCAGTGGAGCCACGGACCTGCACTGCCATCCTGTGGCAGTGCACCAAGAGGCCACCAGGCTGTGCTGGGCTCACCCACACAGTCTTCCCTCAACTTGCCATGGTCACTCAGAAGTCACAGGCAGAACTGGGCAGAGAAGAAGCTGGCCTCCTCCACTGACACTGACCCTGCCCCTACCCCTCAGGGGCCTCATGGCCGGCGGGGGTGAGGGGGAATAGGAAGAGAAGAGACGACAGCACGTAGCCTCAGAGATACAAAACTGGCTTTCCTTCCCTGGGGGCCTGGGTGCAGTGTGGGCTCTACACGATCCTCCATACCAGGAACACTGGCCAGGCCCTGCTGTTGGCATGTGACCTGCAACTGCACAGGCCTGGAGCTGCCTGGGGCTGCAGGCCTTTCTGCCATTCTTCACATGCCCCAGCACCCAGGCAGCTCCCACCCCTTGCCGGGACTGCCCCTCATGTGAAGAGGCGAGGCTGCAGAGGGCCTGGCTGGAGGTGAGCAGGAAAGCTCCCAATCTGCGCTGACTGACGGGCAAATCCTCTCCAGCCTTGGGGGAGGGTGTGTGGAGATGGGACTGGAAGGTGGGTGCGGACCACACCAGTCAGACCACTCAGCTACTGGGGCAACCTCTGGGAGGGAAGGACCAGACCATATAGACCACATAGCAGCCACCCTACCGGATTCCCAAGAAGGCTCCCTGGCCACCTGCGCCATGTGGCCAGTGTCTGGAGCAGCCTGAAGACATAGACAGGATGGGGGCCAGCCAGCGCCGGAACCAAGGCCCCTACACCGCCATTGCCAAGGGGCCAAAAGACAGAGGGGCCGGGCCACCCAGCTCAGCTCTGACCTAGACCAGACGACACATACACACACACATGCACGCACACCAGCGCGTGTGCCCAGGGCTGGCAGTACTCACCATGACCAACCAGCCTGAGAGAAGGCTAGAAAGAGACGTGGACTGGAAGGCCCAGCCAGCACACTCTGGCCACCACTCACCGAGGAGGCGCTGCTACAAGACCTGGTGCGGCGTTTGTGGCAGTGGTGGGCATGCTTGCGGGTTCGATATGGCTCCCTCTCCCGTGACCGCCGACGATGGTGTGAACGCGACGATCCATAGCAGTCCTCTCCAAAGGATGGGCTCCGCTCTTCACACCGGTACGTGTCGCTGTCTCGGCGCTCCCGGTATCTCCTCTGGTAGGGCAGGCGGTCATGGCTGCCAAGAAGGGCAGGGGAGACTGGTCAGCAGGGTCCTTCCTCCCGCCAGCCAGGTCCCTGCTACCAGGCAAGAAGCCTGTGTGGCCCTGCAAAGAGCCCAGAGACAGCCTGTTGGAGTAGAGGCACCCAGACTGGCGGGAAGAGGGCAGAAGAGGGAAGGTGCGAAGGTGCTAAGCCTGCTTGCCCTCCAGAACCTTGGCTAAGGACAGGCACCCCTCCAGTGCCCCAGGAGGCAGAGCAGGGGGGAAGGGGAGTATGGTGAACGGCCTCTGAGGGCCCAGACACTCGGGCTCCCTGTGGCCTTCTGGAGACCATAACTTTGGCATGGGGCTAAGACACGACCAGGGACCAACCACTAGAAAGGGCTGGGGTCTCCCTGATCCCCAACAAGGAAGGCTCAGGAGGTTAGTAGGGGAGGAGCCACAGACCTGCACTGCCATCCTGGCCTGGCAAATGGGGAATGTTCTGGGAGAAGGAAGAAGAGGAAGGGGCACTCAACAACAGACGATGAAGGAGAGGCAAGGCTAACAGCTAACACGGAAGCCAGGGACTGCAGGTGAGATTTGGGGAGGCACCCCAAGATGACATGGTGGGACCTAGGAGCAGCGGGCAGAGATAGCAGTCATTCTGAGGAGACGTGGGACTGCCCCAAGCCCCCAGACCATCTCACTAGCCCAGCCAAGGGCAGGAGTCCTTCCCTGCCTACCCAGTTCCCTCTCACCTCCTGGACCGAGACCTGCGAGGCGGAGGCTCCCTTCGGGACAGGTAGCGCAGTCTCCCTTCGTGCTCCCGACTGTAAGACCTCCTCCTCTTCCATCGGTAGCTCAGGTACGGGTCTGGCTCAGGGGAGCGGTATCGCTTACAGTGATGCATCTAGGCCACGAGAGAGAGTGCCCTGCTCAACATGCAGCCAGCCGCCCCCAGCCACCGGGCTGCCGGGCAGCCTAGACGTGCCTGAAGAAGAGGCCCATTGTTCTGTTCGGGGGCAGCCCCTCCCCAGGGTTTATGAAGTGAAAAAGAACTCTGAGGTCACACTGGCCGAACAACAGACAATGGGTAACACCCTCTCTGCCAGTGAACTACCAAACAGCTGCCTCCCCAACAGAGTATCACTGGCCTGGTGGCCTGAGCACTTGGGGAAACGGGTGAGCGAGGACCAGGTACTGAGGCAGGAAGGCAAGATGGAATGGTGAGCACAGTCACCAAGGTCAGGGAGAAAGGGGAGCCTTCTGGGCTCAGTTCCCTCCTTCCTAGGCAGTCCTAAGAAGTGACCATGCTGTAAAGCGAGAGGCCAGAGTCAAAGGGCTGTTGGCAAGAAGCCAACAACATGGCAGCAAGTGGGGAAAAACCTTCAGTTTGGAAGCCTAAAGTCTCCCGGCTAACTGGAACCCCCTCAAGAAAGTAAGGACCGCAAGTCAATGTGAGAAGCCACACATGAGAAGACCAACCCTTGGAGAAAGAGGCAAACAGGGTCTCACAAATATTCCCCAGCCCACTCCAGAGTCTGGCCAGCCCTTGCTGGTCAGCACCCGGTCTCAGCAGCTGTTGGGATACCAGGGTCATCTGAGCACCCAAGTTTCTTGCCAGAGGCCCACTTAGCGCCCTTCAGACCACCTGCAGTGCCATGCTGGGCAGTGCCTCACCTCTCTCCAACATTACCTTTGCTGTCCCCTCTTCTCTTTCCCCTGCTCCAGTACTGGCTCCTGTTCCCATTTCAGGAGCAGCAGAGGGGTTGGCTGTCTGCACAGGGAGGCAGGCCAAAGGGCCCCATCCCATTCTCCCTGTTAAGCAGAGACTTCTATCCGCCACAGGAAATCACCAGGCTGGACCAGCACCAACTGAGAAAGACGGCTCCGTGAGGCCAGCCCCCAGTTCCACGCCCATCCAAAACCCTGATGCTGCCTCCAGGGGAAGGCTAGGCCAACGCTTCACTTAGCCACAGCCAGCCTCCGGTCATGATCAGTCCTGGGCTCACCTGACCAAGGACACTTTGGACAAACCCACTAAGGCTGCACCATGAAGACAGAAAGGTCTGTCAGAAGGAGAGCAGCACGGAACGGCTCCCCCTGGGGTGAGCAGGGCAGCGAGGCCAATCTGACCAAACTCCTGGGAGCTCCTCGGTGATCCCGACAAAGTCACTGCCCTCCATTTCCCCAGTAGCAGATATCCCCTCTCTACCTGGGAAGTCCAGGAAGTGGTACTGGCCCAGACTTCTGCAATCCCTGGAATAAACACTATGTAAAATCACTGATCCCTAAGGCTTGGATTTCTGTTCTGTTTTGTTGATCAGCTGACTATGTTTCACTGTTTTCCTGCAATTACCCTGGGGAAGGTGCCCAAGCTGTGGAATGAAAGCACATCTCACATTTCAGAATTGACCAGGAAGACGCTCCAGTGGCTGGGCATGGGCCCTCCCACAAGGCCAGTGTGGCCCTGCCCTCCTGAGACCTGGAAGATACACATGTCCACACACTTCACGTTAGTGGAAAGAGCCCAGGCTTCAGAGTCAGACAGATGTCAATTTAAAACCTGGCACTGCCACTTCTAGCTGTGTGCTTTTGGGCAAGTTACTCAACTGCTCTACCCTTCAGCTTCCTCTTGCAACAAGGGGATAATAATCTCTTGCAAGGTGTTGTGAGGATTCAATGTGTCTCTCCTATAAACCAAGTGCCTAGCACAGGCCTGGGCCCACAAGAGGTACTGCAGAGCAGCTTTTCATTCACAAAATAAAAAAGGTTCCAGGTAACAACTCAGGTCTCTGTTAAATGCCTTAAGAGCACTAAGAACATATGTTAAGTCCCTTCCCAGGAACCTGGGGAAGACAGTTCTGGGCAGAAAACCCTGACCTAATCCTCAGTGCTGTCACTTACTGTCCTCATGAACTTATACAAGTCACTCTAGGCCTCTGCCACCTTACCCGGAAAGTAGAGATTAACACCACTTCCCAGCCAACTTGGCAAAAGAATGACAAGTACGAGAGCTATAAAGTACCACACACAAGGCAATAATAATAGGGGAAATCATCTCTCCTTTACCACATCTTAGGCAGCTGAGCTACTGGACATACCAGACCCCCTCCTCAGCCTCCCACCAAAGCACAAGTGCCCACTTCTCATCCATTGTCTCTGATTCTCTGAGACCCCAGCAAACAGGTTATCTAATGAAGCTAAAGCCACCATTATGCTTTAGGAGGCTCTGTTCTACACAATGAAGAAAAAAAAAACGTAATGTGAAGGAAACCAGGCCGAGGATGCCAGCTCTCCCCCTCAGAGCACAGGCCTAGTTGGCTTCTCACTTGCTGTTCCTGGCCACAGAACTGGGCTGACAAGAAGTGCAGCCAGCCAGGTCAGTGACTGCCCTCCCGGATCCCTGCCACCCCAGCGCCCCATGGTTATTTTTGGCTGGCGCTGCCCCTCCACTGCAACCTCAAGCTTGCCACCTCGCAAGCCGCCACAACCGGGTGAAACGCTCCTCCTTTTCAAGGGCACGGAGGAGGGAAGCTGGAAGGCCGCCAACTCCGCCTCCACCGGAGCCTGGCTCAGGCAATTCCCACCCCGGCTCCACACCAGGGCACTCACACCCGGAACTAAAGCACAGAGACCACCGGGCCGAGGAACAGCCCGGGCATTTGGACTGTCAGCTTGGCCTGGCCAATCCCCCAGGGCTGGAGCGACTCCATCATCACAACAAAACACGGACAGGCGCCTGCGGCCCTCGCTCGGGTCCCTTCTAGCGCCCCAGGTCCTGGGTATCTAGGAGCCCGGTACTCTCCAAACCACCGACATTTGCGGAGAAGGGACCCAGGAGGCGGGGGCAGGTCGGCCTGAGCCAGAATCAAACTCCAGGCCGCACGGGGAGGAGGGGTCTACGGACCAAGCCTCGAGCCAAAGAGTCTGAAGGACCCTCCAGGCTATCCCAGGTCGCACCCTGACCCCATTCCTCGGGCACGCGCAGGGCCGAAACTGGGTCCCTGAAGGGGCTAAGGGAGGGTGCCTCAGAGGCCGTTCTGGCTCCCACTCCGACACCACGGGATCGAGAGGTCGACATCCGCAGTGATCGCCCTCTGGGGGAGAAGCAGCGGGTCAGGGGTGAGAGGTCGGGGCCGTGGCCTGAGGTAGGCAAAGGAAGAGAAAGGGCGGGGGCGGAGACCGAACCGGGATACCCGAAACCCGCACCCGGCGTAGCCGCCCCGGCCGACTCACCTTCCACCGCCTTCGTCGCGGGCCGAGGCCCACACTCACCGTCTCCCAGGCTCCGGCTGCGGCTAGGCCCCACTCCCCGCTCCGAGCACCTCTTCCGCTTCCGGCTCCGACCTCCGCCCGTGGCGGCCCCGCCCCCCGGGTGACGCAGCCGTCGCCAGCCCCGGGTCAGCTCAGCTCGGTGACGTGGACACTCTAGCCCCTGACTCGAAGGCTCTGGGGGACTCGCCTTCCGCGCTCTGGTCGGTGGCGCAGAATAGTCGAGGCTAGTTCCGGGAGGGCCGAGGGGTGGCTCCCGCGGCGGCTCGCCCCGCCCCCCGCCGTGTAGCGACGCACGTAAACGCTCAAGACCTGACAGGTGCGCGGTCCCTGCCCGCCGGCTTCTTTGTACCTGGCGGGGGCGATCAGAGCCGAAAGGTGGAGCCCCGCCCGTGTCCGCCAACCACTTTTCTGTGCGCAGAGGGGACGGTCGTTGTTTCCCTGTTACAACAGTGAAAACAGGGATCACTGAGGTCCACCCGGACCCGGGGCCCAAGAGGGCGCTAAAGACGACGGAGATCTGGGCGCAGAGGCTCAGGAACGCGGTGGTGACTCTCAGTTGTGTGAAAAAAAGCAAATGAAATGTGTGTGTGTGTGTGTGTGTGTTTAAAACACTATATGCATGCAGAACAGTTTCTGGGAAGGTACCCGAGAGCCACGATGGTGGGGCATCTTGGAGGCGTCGGGGTCTGGGGTGGATGGGGGTCTTCTTTCCCTTGAGCACCTTTTGAGCGTCTTACTGCGGCCAGCATTGTTTCTCTGTTAGTAAGCCCCAGGCAAACAAAAGCCCCGCGCCGTGCCGCGGTCAGGTCCCGCTAGCCATTTCGCCTTAGAGTTTTTCAGGGCCTGCGAGCATGGGATCATCACAACCCCTCCCACCTATCTGTCCAGCGCGCGATTACGAAGCCCCATTTTCCAAAAGAGGAAACCGAGGTCAAGGGCCCTTTGGGAGATCTCACAGTTTGTGAGCGTGCACGCCCCGCCCGATCCGGGAGTGGTATCCCCGCCCCCGGGCTCTCCTTGGCGTCCCGCAGCTAAACGGGCGGGGGCGGCCCCTAATTGCCCCCACGCCATGCGAGCGCTGGAAACCCGCGGCCCCGCCTGGCCGGAGCGAGCCGGGCTGGGCATCTCCGCAGGCACCGCCCCCTCCTCGGGACAGCAACCCTTTACCATCCACCCTTGGGCAGCCTGGGTTTCTCTAACACCACAGCGGGGAAGGAGGAGGCTGGCGGCCCACCGACCCTTCTTCCCTGGCCCCGCCCAGTTCCCGCCCCCTCCCCAATGAGGACTGGCCACGCCCCTGACGTGACGGCGCGGTCTCTCGGCACCCAAGGTCTGGTCTGAGCCGACCACTCACCCGGAGCTGCGGAGGTGCGTCTAGTCTTTCGCTTCTAGTTTCCCCTTAAACGGGGGTCTAACGACGTGGTTTGAGAGGGTGATTAATACCCCACAAGTCTCCATTTTTTAAGTAAAAATTGAGTGCTTGCTACGCTAATGTACCCTCAAGGTCATCCCCTACTCCCCCTTCCAATCAAATGCTCTCCCAATATAGAAATTCAAGAGCCACTTCAAGTGTGCAGTGGGTGACCCAGAACCTGGCTGTGCCCTCCCTCAGATCTCGCCCCCTCAGGGGTCGGGGTTTAAAAAATGCCAGGCGTCCTGAGGTGCCTTTACTCCTCCCCACCGCTATCCCCAGTCTCCAAATGCTTCAATGCTTGGTTGGTGTAGGCCAAGTTTCTTCCTAGCGGTTTCGTCCACTCAGGCGAGGTGGGAGGACTCTGGTGGCTCCTCCTCCCACCACCTAGTGTTGCCCGCGGTTTCCATGGCTTCTGGGAGTCAGGAGTGCAGCCGGCAGCTGAGAGGGGCCAAGGCCCTCAGACAGGCTCCTGTCCCCAGCCCTGCCCTGGGCACCAGGCTCTGAGGGGGTAAGTTAGGCCCATCTTCCCATAAGCTCTCCACACTGGGGAAACCAGGAGTCCTTATCTCCCGGTGAGGAAGCAGCTCTCTTCTTCTGAGGTGAAATAGGAGGCATCTCCCAGGTCCTTACCTCTCCAAAATCTGCAGTCAGGCAGCCATTGCAACCTGAAATTCTACCATTAGGTCTTCAATCTCGTTTCTTTCTTCCTAAAAGAACTCATACCTGAGAAGAATGTGAAACAGAGCGAATTCCAACTCATAGCCACCCTTCAGGGTTTCCGAGGCTGTGCATCTCTAAGGCAGCACACTGCCACATCTTTCTCCCTTGGAGCCGCTGGTGGTTTCGAGCTGCCCGTGGACCTTTCAGTTAGTAGTCCATCACTTTAACCACCGTGCCACCAGAGCACCAAATAGGTACTTGGAGAAAGATCTACCCTGAGGTGAAGTATGCGCAACTCCCCTCACCCCACCCTGTACCCCCAAGTTATTCTTGCCATGCTGCCTGGCAAAGAGTCCCTGGCAACCCCTGCTGGGGAGCTCATGGGGTGGACCAGCTCCAGAGGTTTGCTCCACATCCCCCTGCCCTGAAGGCCCAAGCTCTTTTCCCAGTCCTCCACCCCTGCCTGCGCTAGATCCTTTCTGTGTGGGTTGAGGTCTGCAGCATGACTCACGTGACTCAAGGGCACCAGGGTCTGGCCTCTGCCCTGTGCCACTTGGCCCCACAGCTCCTCTCTAGGGCCCAGCCTTGCCCCTCTTGGTCTCTCCCTTGCTCCCTCCCCACCCCCAGACTCAGCTCACTGCCCCTCCAGGCCCTAGCTGCTCTGATCCCCTCCTGGTCCTGCTGCGCTTGCTTTCTCCTCCGTCTGCCACATCCATTTTTGCCTTCTCTGGGGGCAGTTAATTCACTTTCAAGCCTCAGCCCCAGGGTCACCTCCCCTGGAAAACCTTCCTGGGAACCCCTAAGGAGAGTCGGGAGCCCCTTTCCTGTGCTCCCACAGCTCTGTGCTCCTGCCTCAAGCTCTCAGAGGCTGTGCTGTCCCTCTGTGCTGGCTCCCCAAACTCAACAATCTGGCCTGTCCCCACCAGCCCCCGCAGCAGACCATAAACTCCTCTGGAACTAAGTCAGGCATAGAGCAGCTTCTCCGTGAGGGCTGGGGGCTGCCTATGGACGACCTCTCATCTCCTACTGGAAAGACAGAATGGAACTGTGAGTGCTGTGCCAGAGTGTGGGAGGTGGGGGCAGGGGCAGTCCTCATGGTCTGTTTTGGAGAGGTCTTAGTAAGGTGGTGAGATGGGAGGAGGGAGCTCAGGAGAGGGCTGCAGGAATCTAGGCCTGGAGACAGAGGGGAGGAGAGAGTCCAAGGTGGCTGGGGCGGAGAGGGCCTGGTGGATGGTGGTGCCATCCTGAGGCGGGTGCAGGTCTGGGGAAGTAAGGAGTGGGCATGTCAGGGGAGGGGGAGGGGAGGCTCAGCCCAGTGTTCCTCTCTCCTCAGGTGAAGACAGCCTTCCAGGACTGGGCCTCACACCCTCTGTGCCCTCACAGAGCCTGAGCCTGGGTGCCTGGTGCTCAGGGTTAGGAGGAGGGAGATGGTGGTAGAGCTCTGATGCCCAGACCCTGGAGGTGAGGAGAGTGGGGGGAGGAGGAGTGTGGGGGGCAATACCAGCTGAGTAGCTCTTGTCTGCCTCATGAGTTCCCACAAGCTGGTGGGGCATGGGGTCAGGGCCCCTGTCTTACAGCTGAAGTTATGGAAACTCGAGAGGTATCAGAGCAAGGACTTTGTCTGGGGGCTTCTTATCCCCACATCACAGCTAAACTGTGTTGCTGTTGTTAGGTGCCATTGAGTCAATTTCTACTCATAGCTACCCCATGTGACAGAGTAGAACTACCCCATAGGGTTTTTAGGCTGTGATATTTTATTTTATTGTTTTAGGTGAAAGTTTACAGCGCAAATTAGTTTTTCATTCAAAAATGTTTTGTGATATTGGTGGCAATCCCTGCAATGTGTGAGCACTCTCCCCCTTTCCCTTTCCACCCTGGGTTCTCTGTGTCCATTCATTCAGTTTTTCTGTCCCTTCCTGCTGTCTTGTCTTTGCTTTTATAGGTGTTGCCCATTTGGTCTCATATACTTGGCTGAAGTAAAACAGCATGTTCCTCTCATGCGTTATTGTTTGTTTTATAGGCCCGTCTAATCTTTGGCTGAAAGGTGGACTTAGGGACTTAGGTGGACTTCAGTTCAGAGTTAGTAGGGTGTCCGGGGGCCATAGTCTCAGGGGTTCCTCCAGTCTCTGTCAGACCCATAAGTCTGGTCTTTTTCTGTGAATTTGAATTTTGTTCTACATTTTTCTCCCTCTCTATCCGAGACCCTCTATTGTGATCTCTGTCAGAGGCAGTCGTAGGCTGTAATCTTTATGGGAGCAGATCGGCAGGTCTTTCTCCTGCAGAGCTGCTGGGTGGATTCGAACCGCCGACCTTTTTGTTAGCAGCCAAACACTTAACTGTTGCGCTGCCAGGGCTCCTTTAGCTAAACTACTATGCTGGTCTTCAAATGTTCCACTGGCCCCTACCATTTCCTGACCACCGTCCACCAGACTCCCACACCTGGAAGGGGAGCATGGTGGGGCAGCAGGGTGGGGGAATGTGGGCTCTAGTGCCCGAAGCGCTGGATGGGAATCCCCACTCTGCAGTGAACTCCCTGTGGCAGGAGTGGATTAACCAGTCAGCAAGGTAGGCACTGGCTTAATTGTCTTTACTTATTCATCTGCAGTGCAGTTTCACGTGGGTCTTACAACATCTTTGATATGGTGAAAAATAGGTGAAATTGTGCACTGCAGATGAGTAAGTAAGCCTGTGGGTACCTTGCTTATTGGGTCATCCGTCCCTGCCCTGCAGTGACCAGGGGCAACTGAGTTCCGCCTCTGAGCTTCTGTTCCGCTTCCCCAACCGGGTACCTGTGGCATGAAATGAGATCGTGTTTATTCAGTAAGTGGCCTGGCTG